TCGGTAATAACCTATATGACAAAAGAATCTGCAAAAGAATGAATATATGTCTATGTATTACCGAATCACTTCTCTATACACCTGAAACTAACACAACACTGTAAGTAAAAAAAAAAAAAAAAAAGTTACACAGAAAAAAGATAAAAGCAGTTTTCCTGAGCTGGGTTTCAGAGGCATTCAGGAAGTACATCAATACAGACCCTGAGTCTGTAGAAGGGACATCACTACTGGCCATGCATTTGATCACCCAGTCCGCTCCTGATAGCAAGAGAAAATTTCAAAAGCTTGAGGCTGGGTCCCAAACCCCGTTGTCAACCTTGGTAGAGGAGGCCTTCAAGGTCTATAATAACCAAGACTTAATACGGGAGGCCTATCAGGATGGGAAGCTAATCAAGAAAACGCAGCTTTTGGCTACTCTGATTTACCTGCCACCTTGAGGGGACCCTAGACTGCTGAGAAGACCAGACAAACAGCCGAGAAGCCACCTGGACTAAAACCAGTGTGCCTTTTGTCTGAAGGAGGAGCACTGGAAGGGGGGATGTCCTAGCGCCGTCCTGTGGAACACCAAAAAAACACCCCCGACCCACCCCAGTTCCTTGCAAATCTCTCAGATAAGAGATTCCCACATACTGACTGACCCAAGCGCCCGCCTGGCTCCAGATCTCACTAGATCCATTCTCATTACTCCAGCGGAGCCTTGGGTCACCCCTGATGTGGCCAGTAGGAAAAACTGAATTTCCTGTAGACACTGGAGCCACCTACTCTGTTCTGCCTTGGCTGGCTGGTCCCCTCTCCAACCCTGACTGTAATGCGACGGGAGTTGATGGACGGCCAAAGAAAGGTAAGGCGATTTACATCTCCCTTTGCCTACAGAATCAGGTCCATTATTATTATTATCAGCGGAGCCTTGGGTCACCCCTGATGTGGCCAGTAGGAAAAACTGAATTTCCTGTAGACACTGGAGCCACCTACTCTGTTCTGCCTTGGCTGGCTGGTCCCCTCTCCAACCCTGACTGTAATGCGACGGGAGTTGATGGACGGCCAAAGAAAGGTAAGGCGATTTACATCTCCCTTTGCCTACAGAATCAGGTCCATTATTATTATTATTTTTTTTTTTTGGCGGTATGCGGGCCTCTCACTGTTGCGGCCTCTCCCGTTGCGGAGCACAGGCTCTGCAGGCGCAGGCTCAGCGGCCAGGGCTCACGGGCCCAGCCGCCCCGCGGCATGTGGGATCTTCCCGGACCGGGGCACGAAACCTGTGTCCCCTGCATCGGCAGGCGGACTCTCAACCACTGCGCCACCAGGGAAGCCCCATTATTATTACTCAATGCTTTTTGTATATGCCAGAATGCCCTGTCCTCCTCCTCAGAAGAGGAAGAGCTAGTACATTCTTAGAACAGGGTAAAGTCAAAAAAGGTAAAAAATTCAAACAGAAAATGCATCTATTAGTAGCTCCAGATGACCCATCTGCTACTCATCAAAATACTCCTCAAAACATTCCCCTCAAAATTAGACAACAGGTAAACGCCTCGGTGTTAGGAAAGACAAAACATGTTCCACTGATAAAAATAAGATTAAGGCCTGGGGAAAAATACCCCTGGAAGAGACAATATTCTTTACAGCCTAAAGCCCTGAGGGGGATCCAACCACTGCTCACCAAATTCCTAAAACATGGACTCATTAGGCCCTACCAATCCCCTTGCAACACCCCAGTTCTCCCTGTTCAGGAGCCTAACGGGGAATATTGGTTTATATAAGACTTACGAGCACCCAGTGGTGCCAAACCCATTCACCCTCCTCGCTCAAGTACCAGGGAGCACTCGATATTTCTGTTGTGGACCTCAAAGATGCATTTTTCTATATTCACCTACATCCAGACTCTCAATACCTTTTTCGCCTTTAAATGGAGGGACCCCGACACCCTGGAGGCTACCCAATATGCTTGGACAGTGCTTCCACAGGGTTTTTGGGATAGCACCCCTCTTTTTGGAAATGGGTTGGCATGGGAACTGAGAACTAAGCCTTGAAAAGGGAACTCTGCCACAATATATTGATGATTTATTAATAAGTAGTGAGACAAAACAAGATTCAGATCAAAATACTGTTAAGGTCCCAAATCTTCTGGTAAAAAGGGGACATAAAGTCTCCCCAAACTAGGCTCACATCTCACAGCAACAGGTTCAGTGTTTAGGATTTGTTTTAACCCCAGAGGCGCGAGCCCTGGGCATAGACTGAAGAATAGCAATTAGTGCATTACCATCTCCAACCACAAAGAGGCAACTCCAGGGCTTTCTCAGGATGGCTGGGTTCTGTCATATCTGAATTCCAAATTATGGCGTTAGAGCCAAACCCCTATATAAGGCTCTAGATAATTGTTTTTGTTTTTGTGGTGTGTGTGTGTGTGTGTGTGTGTGTGTGTTCCTTGGCCTCACCGCAGGGCATGTGGGATCTTAGTTCCCTAACCAGGGATAGAACCCATACCCCCTGCAGTGGAAGCACAGAGTCTTAACCACTGGACCACCAGGGAAGTCCCTATAAGGCTGTAAAGGGAAAAGAAAGGGAACTCCTTCACCAGAATAGGGACCACCATTGGGACTTTGAGACTCTAAAGGCTGAGTTAAACAGAACACTAGCACTGGGACTTCCAAATTTGGACAAGCCCTTTACCGTATATGCTCATGAAAAGTCAGGGATAGCGCTAGGAGTCCTGACCCAAAAGCTGGCATCAGATGTGGGACCAGATCAGAGACCAGTGGCTTACTTTTCAAAACAACTGGACTCAATAACCCTGGGATGGCCCAGCTACCTGCGGGCAATACCAGCCACAGGCCTCTTAGTTAATGAGGCTTCCAAAAGACCAAAAACCCAACCTGGGACAACACTTATAAATGTATTAACCCCCCGTCAAGTACAATCTGTGCTGGACGTCAAAGGACATCACTGGTTGACTGGAGGAAGACTGACAAGATATCACGCTCTCCTCATGGGCACCCTTGACATACAGGTGTGCCAAACCCTGAACCCAGCAACCCTCCTTCCAGTTGTCGAGAGTAGAGATTTACTGCATCACTGTATAGAGATCATAGAACAAACTTACTCCAGCAGGTCTAATCTTCTAGATGAACCTCTTGACAGCCCTGAGGTCAAATGGTTTACTGACGGGAGCAGTGTTATAGAGATGGGAACTCGGAAGGCAGGGTATGCCATAGTTGGTCTAGATGAAGTCACAGAAACCAAGGCCCTGCCACCACAGACATCGGCCCACAGTGCTGAGCTAACTGCATTAACAAGAGCTTTGCAGGAACTCTCTGGTGGCCTAGTGGTTAGGATTCCAGGCTTTCACTGCTGTGGCCCGGATTCAATATCTGGTTGGGGAACTGAGATCCCACACAGCCAAAAAAAAAAAATAAAAGAGAGAGAGAGATTCTTATAACATCATATGATCTAAATTACCAACAACAGTTTGCCGTCCTCCCCTAGTTGAACAGGTAGTAGCAACAGCTATGTCCTTCAAGGACTATCAAATCTTAACCACGGTGAGACAGACATTCAGGCCTGCACCCCTGAAGGGTTTGTCTTCCTCTGTGGACATCCAAACCATCACATGTTAGAAAATTATGGCCAGACCCTATCCTTTTCCAACCAAGCTATGGCCTATAACTGCACTGATAATGTCCACTTCACAGGAGAGTGCACTCTAGGGACTACAGGGCTAAGAGGGATGGTGATCTATAACAGGACCACTCTAGCTCACCACCAAACCCAGAGAGCACTAGGAATGATCTCAGCAGCGGCAGGGCTGGCCATAGGACTGGCAGCTCCATGGGGAGGCTTCCCTTATCATGAAGCAACACTGAGAAATCTCACCAGACAGCTTGGTTATGTGATAAAACAGACAGGGCAAGCCTTAACAGGACTTAAGACCTCTCGTTACTTTCATTAATGCAGCTCTTGATAATCATCTAGCTCGATTACCTTCTGACAGAACAAGGCAGAATCTGTGGGATAACTATTACTTCCTGCTGCACCTAAATCAGTGTCACAGGACAGATAGAAGTTAATATTAAAGAAATATACACCCAAGCAGAATGGCTTCACAATTTTGGCAGGGGTGATATCGCCTCCGTCGTCTGGTCAGCAGTTAGGGAAGCCCTCCCAAAGTTAACCTGATTCCTTCCCTTTCTAGGCTCTCTTGTGGCTATTATTGTTCTTCTCCTCTTTGGCCCTTGTCTGTTTAAGCTTTTGGTTAAGTTTGTGTCTAGACTTCAACAGTTTCAAGGAAGGCTCATGATGGCTCAAGGATTTCAACCCACTCCAGCCAAGGGTAACCCTGGCCCCTAAAACAGTCAGCAAGGGACTTCTATACCTATAGGGTAGGTTAGGATCTGCAGCTCCTGTCCAGCAGGAAGACATTTCAGAAGAAGAAGACCTCCGGTCCCTTAATCCTTAAAAATAAAGGGTGTAGAAGCCCTCAGGGGGGAATGAGACAGGCTGGGACCTGGGACCCTTTGCTGCAGTGCTTACACCTGGACAAACATCTCCTGGAGCAACAGAATACAAAGCAACCACAAGGGACTAAAAATAACTATGCACCTGCAACTGGGGCAAATTATGAACAAGATACAAAAAGACCAAAAACCCAACTGCCACTTCTGAAGTGCTGGGAGCAAAAGGAGTGCACTACTCACCATTCCTGCCCAGGACACCACCAAGAGGGTGGGCAGACCACCTAAGCCACCCCTACTGCCTGAACCATGGATGTGCCCCTACTCTCACTCCATTTAAGGAACCAGCTCGGAGCCACCCTCCCCCAAACCCTTGTTCCCCCAGCAAGCAAGCAAGGGCACCTGTTGCTTGTTGGGCACCTGTTTCTTATTTTCACTCCCTTGTTCTGCAGCATGAGCCCCAATAAGGCCTTGCCCGAATTTCTCATCTGGCCTCTTACCAACTTCTATTGATTAAAGAGTCCAAGAACCTGAGTCAGTAACACTAAGACCAGCGGCTGTCTGATGGGGCCGTTCCAGCTTCAGCTGATAACATGTTTATTGCATTAGTACAGTCGGCCTGCCCCACCCCCACCCCCACCCCCAGCCTGTTCACAGCTTTCTGCTCACTGCCCAAAGAGGTGGCCCTTCCCCCAGGGTGGGCATTCTGGGCACCTCCCCCACCCAGGTCGTTACTCGGGGACCCTGCTTCTCTGCCTCCTCCTGACCAGCTGGACCCTGTGCGCAGCCTGGGCCGCCCCTATCGGGGTTGCATTCAAGGATTATTCTCTGTTAATAAATAAGCCGGCATGGCTGCCTGTTGGCCAGGGCCTGTCGGGTCGTTGTCTTCCCTCCACCAGGAACCGCTGTGTGCCGGGGCCCTAGCTGCTTCCCAGGGTCTGACCGCCCCCTCTCCCTGCTGCTGCCACCTCCCCAGTCCCCAGTGTGGGGACGGCCGAGTCACCAGTGCGCTGCGCTGCGCGGCCCCCGCTCAGCACGCAGTTCTGGGGCGTGTGTCCTCCGGTTGCGGCCCTTCCTCCGCGACTCGGGAGGCGGTGGGCGCGGCGCGGGCTGCGGACGACACATTCGCAGGGAGTTCGTACCACCGCCGCCCGGCTCCACCAGCTGCAGGAAGTCCCGGTACCAGAGCTTGGGGCCCGGCGGCGCAACGGGAGCAGCCTCCTCGGTCCGGGCCAGCCTTTCAGCCTGCGCAGCACTCAGCACGTGCAGCGCCAGGCGACGCATTGGCTGCGAAAAGCCCTGCTCCACGGCTGCGCACAGGTACAGGCCTGAGTCCCCACGCCGCAACCAGCGAAGCAGCAGGCCCCGCATCGTGCGTTCGGCTCGCTCCTCTGAGGGCACCTGCAAGCCGGATCAGCGTGAGGCTGACGTTAGGGAACAGGGCGGGGCTCGCCTGAACGTGGGGGCGCGTCAGAGACCACCCCCCAGTGGGCGGAGAAAGAGCGGGGCTTCCTTCGGACTGGGCTGGGGCGCGGGCGTCAGGAGCCTAGTTAGAGGAATGGGGCCTCACCAGGATGCGGAGTGCAGGCAAGGGGCCAAACTGGGCGTTAGGGGTCTGGTTGGGCGGAGACTCACTGGGCGGAGCTGGATCGCATCTAGATGTCCGGAGCAGGCCAAGGGCCTCATTAATCAGAGCGCGCACTTCCTGGACGTAGGAGTCGGAACAAGGGCCTGGTTGGGAGGGGAGTGGGGGGAGGCTCACCTGAGTGTAGGCCGCCTCCCCCGCGCGCTGGAAGGTCCACTCCACGCGCGCCTGCAGCGAGCGGGGCTCACACTCCAGGAAGGCGCTACCTCCCTCCACGCCGAACACCTTCCGCTCCAGCAGCGCAGGATGGGATGAGTCTGGGGGCAAAAGGAATGTCAGATTCAGACAAGGCAGGGCAGGGTGGGGCAGTCTTTAAGGGTTGGGGGGTGAGAGCAGCTGGGACACTCACCCCCGGTGCACAGTGTGCTGGGGTCACCGTTCCTTACATCCTGCCGTCGGAACCTCCTGGGGAGAGGGGACATTAGAGTCTCCGTGAGCCCTTCTTTTAGCCAGGGGCAGATAAAGACTCCCTCCAGGCAGCCCGCCCCTGATCCTACCCACCTCTTGGCACTGGGCTGGAAGCGCGTGCACGCGGCCCCATCCCAGGCGCAGTAAGGGTCACGTGCCAGACAGCATTCGGCACAGGCACGGCCGTGGGCAGCGCAGCGGTGCAACGGGATCTGGGCCACCCCGCTCCGAGAGGCTACGTACAGTTGGTGCTAGGGGTACAAGGGGCTCCAGGCTGACCGAGGGTGGCCCCGTGCCTGCCTCCCATAGGTCAGGGATCCCTTCCCCCATTTGACAAAAGGGAACACTGAGGTCTCAGGTCCCACAGTCTAGTGAAGGCAGAGCCTGTACTCGAAACCGGGGGTTGTAATTACCAAGAGAAGAATGGGGGTGGGGGCACCTGGGAACAGGCTGGGTCCATTCCGCCCACAAGCCTTCTGGTCACTTACCCTCTTGGAGGAGATTTGCATGCTGGTGACAGCAGCTGAGTCCTGAGAGGGAGGAGGGGTGCTGGGATCAGGGCTCCGTGGGGTGGGGGTACCCCAGGCAATGGGGGCTAGGCCTCACCTCAAACATGTGCAGCTCCTCCAGGAGCAGCCCCTCAGCATTAGGCCGGCCACCCTTGGGGACGGAGATCACCTTCAGGACGGTGCCAGCATCTGCAGGGATGAGAAGGCTGAGTGACTCCTTGTGTTCCCTGACAGCCAGGGCCAGGGGTCTCCTCACCTCTGAGGCCTCCACCCTCCGCATGGTTGGGATGGTGAAGAATGTGGGTTGGAGCAATCAGAGCAGCATCCAGAAGGAGATGGGGGCATAGCCCCTGGAAAAATATGGAGATGGGACTGAACAGGGGGAGCTTCCACTAACAGGCCAAAGAGCCTGGGCTGGGTCTTGTGGGTGGTCATGGCAGGACCCTGACCTGTGCCAATGAAGAGGACGTCGTAGTATCCGTCAACAGCTGCTACACGGTCCGCAGTGATCTGGGTGAAGGTGTACCCGGCACCCACTTGTTGGAAGAGGGGGCGCCCCCCCATAGGCAGGACCGAATTGTACATGAGGGGGTGGTTCCGGGCAAACTGGATGACATCATCAGGAAAGTCCTTGGTGGAACTGAAGGTGCCAAAGGTCTTGCTGGGGCACTGGGGGGTGGGAAGGAGGCATGACAAGGATGTGGATATGAAGGCCTGGTGGGCAGCCCTCCACAGGACACCTCCCGGAACCTGGAGCGTGTGTGAGTGTGTGTGTGTGCGCGCGCACGCACAGGGGGCGGGTGTTGGCCAGAGCCCTGCCCTGGGAATCTGAGAGAGGAACTCCAGCCTTGCCTTTGGGGGTCTGAGGGGGAAACATGGCCTTCCCCTGAGGAGCCCTGTCTAATGAAGATGATGTTTTCCCACCCATAAAAAAAAGAAGACACAACATTCACCAAGAAAACCCCAGGCCAAGTTCTCCACCCCGGAAGCTTTAAGTGGGTTGTGGTGGGAGTCCCTGGGCTACGCACCATGCCAGGTCGGGGGTAGGGGACACGGCCCTGGTAGGACACCCACTGGTGCACGGGCCCCTCCTTGTGTGCAAAGGGTCCCAGGAAGGCCCGGCGCACATCATTCATGCTGTACACGCACAATGCGGAGCCCTGGAAGATGCTGCTGCAGGTGAAGATGTAAGTGGAGTAAGGGGCTCAAGTGGGGCCTAGCCAGCCTTGCCCCACTACCTCCCACACCTCACCTGGTCGTGGAGAAGACAGCATAGAGCAGCGGGGTCCAGCGATCCCGCGAGGACAGCAGGAACACGTCCTCTGCAGGGAAGGGACCAAGTTGGGGGAGGGTGCACAGCTAGGCTCAGGGTCTGCGCCCCTGCGTCCCCTCCCCACACCCCATCCTCCACTCCTGGCACTTACGGAGCTGGTCAAAGTTCGTATCGCCCTCAGCACCGGGCACTGAGCACACCAGCCGCGCCTTCAGGAACGTAGTCCACTTGTTGACCAGGCTGCGCTGGCCACCCACGTCGTTCTGCGGGGTCAGGACGGGGGGATGAGGGCGAGGCCCCGACAGACAGGCAAAGGGGCGGTGGCAGGATCACCGAATGTGGCCCAGGGACTCCTCACCCTGCAGATCTGGCCAACGCGGGACACAGACAGGCGTCCCAGGGCCGGCGTGGCCTCCACTGCCGACTCACGGAAGAAGAAGTAGATCTTGTCGTCGTCCGGGTTCTCACTCTCCGGGATCCAAAAGACCTTGACGAACTTGGGCTCTGACCACAGCAGGAGGCATGGGGTCAGCAAGGTCCTGGCCCTGCCCCCTGCTAGGAGGCCCAGGCACTGCGTCCCCTTTCTTTCGTGCTGGCAGAAGCCCTCAGGGCAGCAGCTGACCACCCAGCCTCTGGGACCAAGTTCAGATGGTGCTCCCCGAGGACACAATCGAAAGAAAGAGGGCCTGCGAGTCAAGAAGAAGCCACGAGAGGGCGGCAGAGACCATGGCTACCTGGGCCCACAGGCAGGCAGACCCTGGCCAGTGGTGGGCCTCTCGCCTCTCCCGTGGCAGTTCTCTATGCCAGTGGGCCAAGAAAGGAGGGATATGGGGTACCTGGTTTTACCTTCACTCATGAATCTTCCTCTCTAGCAGGAAGTAGATGCCCCCACTCCTGCTTCAAATACTCTGCTGGGTCTCATCACTCTTAGAATAATCTACCCTGGCCCTACCCTGTGCTGACAGTCCAGACCCCTTGTCATTGCTCCCTTCATGAGTCTGTTCCTTGGCTTGTTCCTGCCCCCAGGGTCTTTGCACTAATTATTCCCTCTGCTTGGAATGCTCTTATGCTCTTCCCGAAATCCTGCTGTGTTTTGGGCATTAGCGCATACCTTTTCTCAGCAGGGTAGCTTCCTTTCCCCAACCCTCCCACCACCACCACCACCGCTGCCTAGTCTCCTTTTCCCTTCCTCTCCATTCTCTCATTATAGCTCCTGGCCATTGGAACTGATCTTATCGTGTATTAGTTCTGAGGTCTGTGAACTCAAAGAGGGCACGGGCCATACCTATCTTGTCCACCCTGCGACCCAGTGCCTAGTGCAGGGCTTGACCCAGGGTAGCTACCTGGTGAGCACTCACTGCTCACTCCCTTTATGGGCCTTACTCAGCACCTGCTCTGTTGGAGATGAGGCCCCCCTCCCAACAGTCCCACCAGTCTTTCACCGTTGAGCCAGCGGGAATCGTGCGGTTCCGTTCGGAGACTTGGACGCCGACCCAAGCTGCGGAAGATGGTAAAGTCCCGGCCCATGAGGTCTGCGGCTACTCCCGAGTACAACTCTTCCCCTGTAGACAGGGCAAGGCTGCTTAGTGAAACCAAAGGCTCTTGTGGTGGGTTGGGGGCACTGTGGAGCTCTGGGGGCTCTTGGGGAGTCAGTGAGGCTGACATGGGGGATCCCTGGGGCTCTAGGGAGGGTCTTGGGACTTTATGAGATGCTAGAGTCTCTGAGGGGTTCCAGGAGCTCTCTTGGGGCCCCAGCCTTTGGACTCACCCACCAGCACGGAGGCAGCCCGATGCCTGGGGTCATAAGGACTCTTGCCCTTGCCATCCTCTAGCCTTCGAAGGTCCAGCCGGAGCATGGGCTCCTGGGAGGCAGGGGGGAGTTGTTACTGTAGGCCCTCCCTTACCCTCCCAACCTCCCTCCCTGACCAGACCTAGCCTTACCTCCAGCCGCTGGCCCACCTCCACAAATGCACAGGTTGGGTGGAAGGCCCCTGTGCCACAGGCCAGCAAGTGGGTGCGGTTGTAGGCATGCAGCAACTTCACGAAGTTCATGCACTCAGTCTAGCGCGCACGTGGGCGGGGCAGGAACAATGAGGCCTCCCCCGGGGAGGTGGCCTTAAGGGCTCCCAGCTCACCAGTGGCACTCCCACCCCTTCTTTTCTGCATTAGCCCAGGCAAGTACTAACATGGGCTCTAGGGACTCAGGTGCCCTTGGTGACCAGCCCGGCTCGCCTCTCACCAGAATGGGTTCATTGGGAAGCATGCCTGCATTGCCCCCCATGATGCAGAGGCCTCCAAGAAGAATCACATAGCCCCCACCCTGACTCACTACCTCTGGACTTCAGCCACCTCAACCCTCCTGCCCCCATCATAGCCAGAACAGGCAGGCTTCTGTTTTAGCACTGCCCATCTCTAGAGTGAGGGGCTGACCCTCCCCACTCCCACCCAGGCAGCCAACACTCACGCCAATGTCCTTCCCTGCCCAGTTGCACTCCTCTCGCCATTCCACAGGGGCCGGCCAGGCCAGCTATGGGGAGGGAGGAGGAGGGAGAACACAGGTCAGGGACTCAGGATGTTCTCTATGCTGAGGGTGGCGTCCACTCAGGGGGCCCATCCTCCAGGAAGCCTGGAGTAGGGTCCCGGGGCTCTTTCCCGGGGCAGTGCTGAGGCTGGGCGTCCCTGGCACCTTCTTGGCCCGCTTGCTAATGTTGTCCAGGCTGAGGGAGGCCACATGGTTCTCAGCGCCCACAAACAGGCGCCCACGCTCCTCATCCAGCAGCAAAGCTTCGTAGCAGCAGGTCCTCTCCAGCCTGAAGGTCCGGAGACCGTGCTGGGCCTGGAGCTCTGTGGGGTGGGGACATCACTGAGGATTCGCCAGTCATGCTAGAAGCTTCTCCCAGGCCAAGGTTGTAAATGTGACCTGGCCCACACACATGTGAATTTACATGCGTGTGAGTTTACACTCAGGGGGACAGGCCCACCCAGGGTCAGAGCTTCCAGGGTGAGCAGTGCAGCCCACCCCTGCCCCCATGGGGGAAGCAGGTGGAGCTTCTAGGGCAACCTCAGACAAGTAGTGTCTCCAGGCGAGTGCACAGGTAGGCAAGGGCTCTTGGGTAGGCTTGCATGTTGGGACAGCCAGAACCCCAACCCCAAAGTTAGGCTGAGGGTTCTCTGCCACCAGCCTAGGTTCAGTGTGATACCACTGCCTAGTAACCACCCTGTGTAGGGGGTGTGGGAAGGGGGCTCTAATAGTCCCCACACCTCAACTTCCCTGGGAGCAGGGGATGGAACAGAGGCAGGATCTGTTGCCATGCTTCCTGGGAAAGCATGAGGAGAATGTGGGCAGAGAGCTTGGGGACTGAGGCCAGGAAAGGGTTAATTGGAGATGGCCTGAGCGTGCCCCCAATCCAACCCAGCCGGTGGCACACACACAGTGCAACAGCAAACAAAATGCCCCCTATCCACTCTGGGCCCCTTTCCTGCCCACCCTGAGGTGGGCCCTCCCGCCTGCCAGGTGCACCTACCTTGGAAGGAGAGGCGAAGGCGTGGCGTGCTGGGGGCAGCACCCCCCAGCACTGCCACCCAGAGCAGAGCCAGGCCTGGGATCATGGCGGCGGCCTCAGCCCGCCCCATCCCTGCAGCTCAGGGAGCTCAGGGTTCAGCGGGCGTGTGTGGAGGAGCCTTGAGCCACCCTGGACTCTGCCCCGGGATCTGGAAGAGAAGGAGCTGCAGCGAGAGCTATAGGGAGGGAGGCTGGGGGGAGTCCCCAGGGATCAGATTACAGCCCCTAGAGGAAAGAGGCTGGGGGGTCGCATTCCACTTGCAAGTCCTCCTCTCCCTTGCAGGGTGCCCTGCCTGGCCACAATCACAGACACACCCACGCTGGGCACACCATCGGGGTCAACCCCATACTGGCAGGCGCCTACCCCACCACGTCACCCTCCCCAGTAACCCGCCCTCATATACACACACCCACAGGCATTAATTCACAAACTCTGCATGCCTACGTCATGCCAGCCTGGGACTGGGGCTGGGGGCAGTGGGGCACACAGACAAGGTCCTCCTGCAGGAGGGGGCAGAGTACCAACAAGGACTCAGATTGGTGCAGTCATTGCAGTGGTGCCAAGTGCAATGAGCAAAACAAGACAGTCATGGGTGTGACGGTAACAGGAGGGGGGTCAGGCCTCTGGAGGTAGCTGTGCACCCACGGGCCCACAGAGGGACAGAAGCACATTTGGAGCTGGAGCCAATGGTGTGGGCGTCTGTGAATGTGCTTCTAAGGATCCCTTTGTGTATCTGTATTCTGTAGTGTGTATGTGTGTGTGTGTAGTGTGTATGCAGGCATATGTGTACATATCTATGTGAAACCATGTGGCATGTGTGTTGTATTACACATGTAGGTGTGGCATGCATGTGTGCACACACGGCATTGTATGCATGTCTACACAGTGTGTACATGTCTGGGGGGGTGTACACTTTGTAAGTACATACATGTTTGTGTTGCACATGTGTGTATGTGTTTGTGCACAAGTGTATGAGTCTCTCTGGACAAGCAGGTGAGCAAATATAACCGCAGCGTCAATCACTGCCTTCAACTCTGAGACACTCCGGAAACCCACTTCTCAGAGGGAGAAGTGCAGCCGGGAGACCCAGGGCTGGGCAGACGCCTCAGTTTCTGATTTGGGAGCTGCTCCCACTTGGATCCAGCAGCCCCAGCTTTTTGCTTGACCTCTCTCTCCCCACCCCAGAGGGTGGGAGGGGCTGGTCACACACAGAAATTCTGTGAGCTCAGACTTCAGACCCAAGAGGAATCAAGTGGGGAGAGCCAAGGGCCCGAAGCAGATTCTCACCCCCAGCTCGGGTGAGCTGCCCTTCCCTCTCCAGCCTCCAGAGTCTCCCTGAGCCTCTCCATCCCGCCTTCGCCCTCAGGGTTTTCCCATCTTTGAGACCCTCCACTTCTCTGAGCCAGAGCCCTTCCCTGGACCTCTCAGATGGGGTCAGGCTCTGGCTGCAATGCCCACCCTCCTTCCCAGAAGTTGGCTGGGCAGGTGCCGGGCACAGTAGCCCTGGCGTGGGGCTAGGTCCTGGGGTGCATTCAAGCAAGGGGCACAGCTGCCGGGGCACGTTCCAGACTGCTCTCCCCAAACCCCCGCCTAGCTCTGCCGCTTCCAGACCCCTCCCACCCTAGGACTCCCACCTCCCTCCTTCCTTCCACTGACACTTGCCGCTGCCTCTTCTAGGCCCGTGAGGTCTGCGACGTCACAAAACACCAGGTTGCCTTCCCACACGCCACCGAGAGCTCCGGCATCAGCGGCTCCTCACCCTGGCCCCTTCTCACCCTGCAGAAGGGGAGAAGCCGAGGGGCCCTAGGGCACCCTCTGACGGCTCCTTTAAGGAGAAGCCCCCGCCCCCACCAAGCCAGCCGCGCCCCGCCGTCAAGTTTACGGGGCGGATCGGGTGACTGGGCAGGCAGCCGGACCGGCTGGAGTTGGTGGCCAGAGCGGAGCGGGCACAAGGGAGGGGCGGGTAGGGCCGACCCCTCCCCCGTAGGGCTTCAGAGCAACAGGATGCCCCACGCAGCGGTCCTGGAACTGAGGCCGGCAGTCAAGGCAAATAAGGAAGAAGCAGTAGAGACCCCCTAGCCCCAGGCAGCTCTGGCAGAGGGATTGGTCGGATGGGGCACCCCCAGGGACTCGTTTCTTCACTTGTCCCTCCATAGTTGGGGAGCTGGAGGTGGGTAATGAGGGGCTCAGCTGCCACCTCAGTCCCCAGGAGCCAGCTGGGAAGGGCCGGTCAGGGTCAGAGGTCGGAGCGCCCGTTCTCAAGTGGAGGTTTGATGGACCCCCAAGACCCTGCCCCAGTCCTTCCTTAGGGCTTGGGCCACTTAGTACTTCTGCCACCCGGCTGGCAGTGGCTTTGATGACAGCCAGTCTGGGGCGGGAGAAGAGGGCCGGAGGGGCGACAGAGCGGGAGGCAGGCGGCAAGTCTCACTTCTGCACTGCAGGGTGTGGGACCATCCAGAGACCCGTCATGACCAGTGGTCCCATGTCTCTGCTGGGAGGTGAGGGGCATTCTATGCCATCTCCATGAACTCCAGTCTTTCTTCCAAGGTTGAAGGTGGGAGGAACTGCCCCACCAAACACAGAGTGAGGTACCCAAGGGGGATTCAAGGACAGGATGGGGCTCCTACACCTCAGCGCCTCAGTTGGGAAGGGTCTGGGGTCTTGGCCTAAAGGTGAGTCTGGTGGACACACCCTGTTTGTACTGCCAGGGCTGCTTCCTTGGAGGGGCTGAATGTTGACAGTGGTCAAGGGGGGCCCTCAGGTCCACCTGGGTGAACATACCAGGGCTTGAGGGTGGGCTTCCACCCCTCAATCCCCCCAAAATGCATCCTGCTGCATCCTCCCCAAGGCTATCAGCAGCTCCTCAGGGGTCTGTGAGGGAGGCCATGTGGGCACTTCAAGTGTGCATGGTTCTGCTGCCCATCTCCTGCCAAGTCCCTGGAGTAGAAGTGTCTGTGCCCATCCAGGGTGGGGCCATGCCCCTCTTTCCTGAACCTCAGGCCTGGCGTTTCTGGCCCAGCCTGGCTGGCTGGTGGGCAGGTGAAGGGTAGGGGTTAGTGGGAGGACCAGGGGCCTTCAGGAGGGGGAGTGGGGGTGACATACCCCTGCCTGAGCTCCTGGGCTTCCAGGATGTGGCCTCTCCCTCCTCCCAGGCTCTTTTGCCTTGGACCTGGGCAGCGTCCCCTGGCCTCATGCAAGCAAACAAAATTCTTTGGCTGTTTACAATTTTCCACCCAAGCAGCCAAGATCAGCAAGTGCCTTTGAGGTCCCTACCCAACTGCACGGTACCCCCTACTTGCCCCCACTGCTTTTAGTTCTTCAGGCCCAGGTCCCAGCCTCTGTTTCATCCCCACCCCCAACCCAGTGTCCATACTGGAAAAGGGGACCAGGAACCCCCACCATCTGTCCAACACCCTGGGACTCAACCCCCAGCCGAAGGGACTGGGCTGTTCCCGGCCCACCTGAGCCCTTGGCATTGCCTTCCCACTTCCAGATGTGTCCCCCTCCCTGGAGCAGGAAGGGAGATCCCCAGGAGTGAGAGCTCAAATTGTCCCCATCCCCACAAGGTCTCCTTTCTGCTCCTCAGCCCCAGGTCCCAGCGTATGCAGACCCTGGGTAGGAAACTTATGGAGGCAGCCCCCTAGGGGCAGGGTCACTGGCTGTGGGTCACACTGGGCTCTGGAAGTCCCCAAGGACTCTGGAATCATGCAGCCTGGGCCTGGGTCTCGACAGAACGGAACAAACTAGGGGAGGCAGCTTGGGTCTCTGGTGCTGCCTATCAGTGGCACAGCCTGGCAAGGCCTTGGTTTTTCCTTCTGGATTGAAGTGGATTGTGCCAAGTCCCAGCACCTGGCTCCCCAGCCCTCACCGCCAGCTGGGCCTGCCCCTTGCACCCTGCCTGGGCTCTGGATGGTGTGACTGGGCTGGGGTGAGACATCCATTTGAGGAAGGCTACAGCCAACACTCCCAGTGCTCAGCCTGGGCTGGGTTGGGCCTTAGCTCCCCACTCACACCTGCTTTAGCCATCAGGGCTGGTGGCTCCAAAGTCTCGACCTTTCCCTCTTCCGGTCACGTGGGTACTAGGATGTGCTACCCTGAGGACTTAGGCATGGGGGGAGGGAAGCGGTGGAAAGTGGGCCCTGGAAAGCCCAACTGAGGCCTAACTTCCCTGACAATCTGCTACCCACTCCAGGGGATCTCCCGGGAAGGGTCTTTCTGGCATTTCCCTCATGCACCCCCTACCTGGTTTCCAGGCTCCCCAAGGACCCCCAGCCCACCTTTTTTGGAAAGATGAGCTCCTCCCCTCCTTCCTTGCCTGTTCCCTTCAGAGGGCCAAGTCAGAGCTGAGGTGGAGGGGCTGAGGGAGGGGCCGCCCGGAACCCTGGGCCTCTAGCTGGGGCCCTACCCCCACCCGCTCCGCCCCAGCCCTCCGCCTCCTGCACATTCCTCCCTGGCTGAGGTCAGCCCCTCCGCGATGGGGGAGGCCCCCCCCTTGGCCTCCCTCCTCTGGCTGCTTTCCACGTGGGCACCTGAGCATGGCCCCTGCGCCTGGACCTTTCAAAGGTCACTGTGGACGCAGACGCAGGAGTCAGGGAGCCGTGAAGAGGCTTTCTGGACAAGTGGGAGATTCAGCTGCCTGGGCGTCGTGTGCTGTGTGGACGGGGGCCCACACGTCCTTCAGAACGCAGCCCACACCCCCATCCCTGAGACAGGCCGAGGATGTGTGTGGTGCTGTTTGCTGGTCACCACCCTTATCCACTCTGCCTGATGGGTCCCCGCCTCTTTGAATGGCGCCTCACATACAGGGTTGTGGACTCTGTGATTGCATCCCCTCCAAGGCAATAAGCCATTGATTCCTTTAGCTGACGGGCATTCGGCAGTTTCAGGTTCACAGCACGCTTGAGAGAATTCCCCCTGCTCCCCCCAGCATGCACGGGCTCCCCCACTATCAAACCCCACCATCTGGTACCTTTGTTACGGTTGACAAACCTGCACTGTCACATCATCACCCAGAACCCAGAGTTTACATCAGGGATCCCTCTTGAGGTTGTACCTTCTGTGGCTTTGGACAAATGTGTGATGGCGTGTCTCCATCATCACGAGGTCGGGGGGGGGGGCCCCCCCCCCCCCCCACCAGCCACATCACAGCTCTTCACTCACTTCTGTTTTCTTCTTTGCCCAACGGGGGTGGGGTGGGGGTGGGGAAAGAGGGGCCTGGGGGTGGGGCCTCCCTCTCCCCTCCTTCTCCATTGCCTGGGGGAGGGGGGGAGGAGTTGCCAGGAATGCGGCAAAGTGGACTCCGGAGGCACCCAGTACTCAT